CTTTCTCCCTCTTCCATTCCGGCGATGGTTTACCGCTCAGCAACTTCATATCCCGCGTGATGTACCCACTGGCCCTTCTCCATCCCGCTGGTCCTACATTTGTCCAGCCCAAATGACATTTTTATGTCGCGACTGAATCGGGTGACGCAAGTCAGAAGGTCGTCAAGGTGTTTTTTAGATTTGCATACAGCTTTAAATCATCCATGTACCAAAGGTGTCTAATATTTTGTGTGAGTGTGGCAGTATATAACATTTGCGCTGCCTATTCAACATAGTTGTCAGGGGTCGCAGCGACAGACAGAACCATAGCGGACTTAATGCGTCTCCTTGGAATATTCCATTTTCTATTTTAATGGTACCTGCATCTACACTTTTTGGTTGGTGTTTAAGAGAATTCTGGTTTTCCACTGAGACATGGCGTAGTTCAGTAAATTCAGAACATCGGCCTCGACTTTATAAAGCTGCAGCACCTCGGATAGCCAGGAGTGAGGAACACTGTCAAACGCTTTTTGATAGTCTATATACGCTGTGTGCAAAGAGCCTTTTGAGCGTTTCGCGTGAGATGTGATGACCGTATCTATTATTAGTTGTTCTTTACACCCTCTGGATCCTTTTCGACTACCCTTCTGCTCTTCGTCCAACAGGTTATTTCTTTCCAGGTGGCTGTATATCTTTTCCGATAGGATGGACGTGAATATTTATGTATATTGTAGGAAGGCAGGTGATCGGCCTATATTTGGATGGCTCTTCTGAGGACACCTTCGTTTTTGGTAACAAATAAGTGATTCCACTGGTCATGAATGGTGGCAGTTCTTCAGGGTTGGACAGCAGATGAGTATAACCTTTGGCTAGTTGTTGATGAATGACCTTGAATTGTTTATACCAGAAATTTTGGATTGTATCCTGTCCAGGTGCCTTCCAATTCAAGGTCTTGTTTATAGCCTTGGTTACTTGGTCGGTTGTTACTTCCCATTCCAACATTGTCTGTAGGTCAGATGTAGATCTCTTCTCGTCAGACAGCCATCTGGTATTGTTGTGAATCACACGGTTTCCCCAGGTTGATTCCCAAAACGTTTTCATGGCCTCTGGTGTGGGGACCTTATTTTCTTGCAGGGTTTCAATCTCCTGATCTTCAGACTCTAAATTTTATAAAAGCTCCTTTCACTCCTGCTAAACTGACTACTGTGTTGACGTCTTGTGTTGCTTTCCTTATACCGTCGGAGTTTTTTAGCCATAGCCTTGAGTTTTTGTTTAAGGTGATCCAGTATTTCTTGTTGCTGTTGGATTTTCGAGGCTTTGTTCCCTTTCAAGAATGGCTTTGGCTTACTTAGTGACTGAGCTGCTGGGGTTCAAGCTTTGATTTTGTGTCAGAATTCCTATGTCCCGCCTGATACTATCGATTTTATTAGTAATTCGGCGCTGCCATCCTGGCGTGGCTGGGACATTTTTAACTTGAGTGTCCGTGGAGATATTCTGCTTGTTTACTGTTAGCACCGCTGCTGCTCCACTATAAATAAGGCTGTGCAGATTTTCGATGGGTATATCAGTTGTTATTTTGGAATCCAGAATTTTGTTGATTTCACCCAATATAGATTTTGTCTTGTTAATATAAATTATTTTGGGAAGTCTAGGTTTCATCATAGGGTCCATTCCATCATAAAGCAAATGAACCCTTTCGAATTCCAGCTCAGCAGCAGATGGTGGTCTGTTAGCTTCCGGTGCTGGGGCCGCTGGTTCATCGTCAGCATTGGGGAGATCAGCAGGTAAATTTATAGATAGTTCTATCGCAACTTCGCGCTTTATTTGTGTAATAATACCTGGTGATAGGCGTCTATTTATAAATATAGATCTTCGCTGGTCTATGATATTTTGTATAGTCTTATGACGAAGCATTGGGAATTTTTCAGTTACCAGTCTATGTAGTTCTCGGCTGTATGGAGTTTTGGCGGTTTCTAGTCGGGTTAATTGTAATAGCAGCGAACCACGAATGCATTGATTTCCCCTGTCCACATGGTTCTTTGCCTAACTGTGCCTTGTGACGTGGTGGGCATGGGCTCTGATGGTCCAGCAACACCGACATCTTGGCTTGGTACGTTTGGTGGTGGTGTACTCGACTGGGTTGGTAATCTGGTTGGTCCTTGTTCATTGCCGCGGTAGGTTGCAGGTAAATCTTCAAGACGGTTCCGACCCGGCTCCTGCTGCGCTGGCCCGCCTGAGTATCTCTTATTTCTCGTTTTAAAAGCATTTAAATATACACTCTCTAGGGGGTGCTAACCCATAGAGCGGTGGTGCTAGTTTTTGTCCACCCCGGGTATTTTATTCCCCGGTACCCTCCATATCTGGAGAGCGTTTCCCAATTCGCACAGGGAGGCGCCCGATGGGAGACTAGCAACTCCACACGGGACAATTATTATTAATAATAATAATATAACAATATAATAATAATGAAATATAATAAAATAATAATAATAATAATAAGAATAATATAATAATAATAATTATTATTAATTATTATTATGATTATGATTATTATATAGTAATACTACTTATATTATCTATTATTATTATTCTTTTCTCTTTTTATTCTTATTATACTTATTTATTTTCCTTCTTCTTCTTCTTCTTCTATTCTTCTTATCTTCTCCTTCTTCTTATTAGATATTCTCTTCTTCTTCTTTCTTCTTATTATTTTATTCTTCTGCACTTCATCCTCACTGCTTCCCAGGCTTCTCTGGGTTCGCCCGCTGGCCATCGGTTTTGCCAAGATGGCCCGTACGCGGATGATGTTAGCATCTTGTCCTAAAACTCTACGGACTGCACTGCAATGTGTCCAACACGACCGACTTTTGCATAGGTAAGTATAATTCAAACGGTAATCCTAGTTTTGCAGTGATGTTTTTACTTTTTTAGGTATTTCTCTCAGTTGCTCCGATCACAATGGGGATGATGACTACTGTTTCCATGTCCCACATTTGGCGGATTTCATCGCTCAGGGGTAGGTATTTATTGATTTTTCTCCATGTGTCTTTTCTAGGTTGGCCCCAATGGCACAGCGAAATCTACTATATATGCTTTGTTTTCATTTTTTAGAGTGAGCACGATATCCGGTATATTATTACTTATCGGTCTATCGGTTATAATTTTTTCGATTCCAGTAGAGCCGGGTTTGTTCATCTTCGCACACAGCAGGCGGCTCGTATAAATAGTACGGCACTATTTCTGTCAATCCCAGTACTTTTCACGAAGGCTTGGTGGATTATCTTTCCGACGCTGTTTGCCTGTCTAGGTGATTTCAGTGCCAACATTGAGCAACCAGCGATGATGTGATCCAGGTATTCATCTTTTTCACCGCACACACGACATCTGATATTGTCTTGTCGTTACCGCACCTTATGTTTCTTTTATACTTTAGTTGCGATGACCTGATCTTGGATTGGGGATATGAACCCTTCTGTCTCAGCAAACAGGTTACCAGAGCGGAGGTAGGCCGTGGACGCGAAGGTATCGATGTTATCGTTCTCGAGTAGGGTGCGGTATTTACCATGGAGTGCCTTACTCTTCCATTGTTTGCAGTTGTTGCTCGGGCATGAGCTGGTCCACGCTGAGGCTAAAGTTTTGGTCTGCCAGTCTTAAAGGAGTAGCCTTATTGTCCGCCCTTATGATAGCGTGGTGAATCTCACAGGACGCAGCCCTGGCGAGGAAGTAGTTCCTAAGGTTTGTTACTTGCCTGTTGTGGTTAATAACTAGATCGGGTATACCTCTTCCACCCAACTTTCTAGGCAAGTGGAACCTTTCCAATGATGAACGTGGATGAGTGCTCGAAATTTGCTGAACTCTTTTCTGGTTTGGATATTGAGGTTTTTGAGTTCTGTGTCTGTCCAGTGAATCACTCCAAAGCTATAAGAAACTGCAGATGTAGCATAGGTGTTAACTGCTTTTGCCATGTTCCTGGCAGACAGCTTAGTCTTCAGTATCGACCGGACTCTTTTAATGTAGGTGTCACTTACTGTCTGCTTTGCTGCTGTATGATCTAGACCTCTTGCTTGCAGATATTCAAGATATTTGTACCTTTCTCCCTCTTCCATTCCGGCGATGGTTTGCCGCTCAGCAACTTCATATCCCGCGTGATGTACCCACTGGCTCTTCTCCATCCCGCTGGTCCTACATTTGTCCTGCCCAAATGACATTTTATGTCGCGACTGAATCAGGTGACACAACTCAGAAGGTAGTAAAGGTGTTTTTTAGGCTTTGCATACAGCTTTGAATCATCCATGTACCAAAGGTGGCTAATATTCTTGTCTGAGTGTGGCAGTATACCTTTGCGCTGCCTATTCAACATAGTTGTCAGGGGTCGCAGCGACAGACAGAACCATAGCGGACTTAATGCGTCCCCTTGGAATATTCCATTTTCTATTTTAATGGTACCTGCATCTACACTTTTTTGATTGGTGTGTTAAGACAATTCTGGTTTTCCACTGAGACATGGCGTAGTTCAGTAAATTCAGTACATGGGCCTCGACTTTATAAAGCTGCAACACCTCGGGTAGCCAGGAGTGAGGAACACTGTCAAACGCTTTTTGATAGTCTATATATGCTGTGTGCCTTGTGAGCGTTTCGCGTGAGATGTGATGACCGTATCTATTATTAATTGTTCTTTACACCCTCTGGATCCTTTTCGACAACCCTATTATTATTATTATTATTATTATTATTATTATTATTAATAATTATTATTATTATTAATATTATTATTTTTTTTTGACGCCTTCAACTTCTATGGTTATTAGCCGTATTCAATAATATATAATAATATATAAATCTATAGTAAAATATCTAATCTCTTACATGTCTAAGTGGTAAATGTCGCATTTTTAAAAAACTAAATATGCAAATTCCAGATATTAATCGAAAAGGATATACTATTGTCATTTACTTTCAGATTCTATTAGCAACAAAAGATAATATCTGGGAAATGCATGTTACACGACTAAATTTGTCAGGCATATATTCATTAATATTTATTTTTTTTTGTGGTCATTATCTGCACTTCACGATCTTGTCTGCGTTCACGTAAGTATTTCGATTTATACAAATTCTATTGCTACATATTTCTTTTAGTTCCAGATGACAACACTAAGATAAGGTAGGTATGATGCAAAATCATCGTTACATAAGATTTATTTAATCTCAGTTGAGAATAAGATACACAAAAATTAGAATGGTTCATTTCCAAAAAGTTTATTAGGTCAGATCTTCCAATAGAAACCAGACACTTTTAAGAATGATATGACGTTTTTCAGTTTTTCTGGTTGTGTGAGACTCTCTGTCAGGTTATCAAATGGTCCATAGATCACTCGATATTGGGACAATATCGGACATGTGCAGATAATGTGGCGTACAGTGAGTGAAGAGTTACATCCAGTGCACAAGGGCGGATCTGTTCCGAGCAAAAGATGTGCATGTGTAAGACGTGTGTGGTCAAACCGTAAGGGGTGTATGCGCACCCATTCATCTCGTGGCAGTCTGATAGGATGAGCCATGATCCTACACTAGGTTTTATCTGTCTTAAGTGGGTATCAGTGTTACCCCATGTAATTTGCCAGTGTCGCTGTATACGGTTTATGAGGTAGTTTTTATGATCAGACATTTTTATTTCAGGGATGTCGATGTTTTGTTGCGCTGCTGCTGCTTTCGCTGCCATATCAGCAGCTTCATTCCCCTGTATACCAACGTGTCCTGGCAACCACAGAAATTTTACGTTCACCCCTTTATTTAAGAGATGTTTGACCGTTTCAAGACACATCACAGTTAAGGAATCTCGAGATGCATAGTTCATTAGGCCTTGAAGTGCTGAGAGCGAGTCACTAGCTATAATAGCTGTTGTTAAGTTATTCGACATGTCACAATATCGTAGGGCCTGCCAAATCATATTGTTCAGCAGTAAATATGGATGCTATTGGTGATAGTGTCCATTGATGTGTAGTTTGATCGACTACTATAGCACAGCCGACACACTGTCAGTTCGCGATCCATCTGTATAGATAACTGTTGCTGCCGGATATCTAGAAACGATTTCCATAAAACGTGGCTTTATGAGTTCAGATGGATGGTCATTCTTAGATAGTGCAGTCAGCTCAGCTCGAGATTCACATTTATTTTGGGTGACAGCCATGGAGGAGATTCTCTGTGTTTAACATTATAGATAGGGTTACATATACCAATTTCCTCGGCATGTTTAACTCGGACTCTGAGAGGTCTTGTTATTGTGGGGCGACAGATGTAGCTCTCATCCGTACTGAAAATGATAGAAAAGTTTCTATGGAATGGTCGTGTTTGAATCTGTGCAGAATACGATAGTGCAAGTTTTTTACGTCTAATGGATAGAGGTTCAACTCCGGATTCGCAATAGAGGCTAGCTGCTGGAGTTGTACGAAATGCTCCAAGGCAGAGACGTAATCCTTGGTTGTGAACTGTATCAAGTTTTTTAAGTAGTGACGGTCTTGCAGATGAGTAAACAATGCTACCGTAGTCAAGCTTAGATAGAATGATGCTCTTGTATATCCGCATCAGCATCTCAGCTTCTGCTCCGACGTGTTGACGACAGGCATTTTTATTAGGTCAGGGCTCTCTTGCACCTGTTAGTAAGATCC